TCCTTAAAACTCCCAGATCCCCCCAGCATGAGTTGCTGGCGGGGGAATTCTGGATGTTGAAGTCCACACATCTTAAAGTTGCTAAGATTGAGAAACACTCATTTAAAGCATCATGTTGACTGCACGCGGTCTCATACGTGTTTTACAGCGGTGCTTATACGTGATGTTCCCCTTTCACATGCTTCCCTTCTTTGGGACGCTTGCTGTGACTTGAACACTGGCGCCGAAAACTTCAGATCCGTAAGCGAGCCGGCCGCCTCGGAACTAGACCCTACGTCACCTTCCTTGCGTTCACACAATCTGCTCCTCGTTTTGGTGGAACGGTTTCCTGTTTGCGTCAGTGGAAAATCCTTGAGGCTACTGATATATATTGGCGTCCAAAAGTGTGTGCGTGAGTATGTGTGTATTTATAGGCAGTACACACACACACTTATTTTAAATGAAAGAATTAGAACTCCCTGCAGTGCGTGCCTTACACGCAGATCTTTTCAAAACCCACCAATACGAATGGCAGAAATTTTAAAGATTTGACTTGCGGCCGCCGCTAGTCGAGCACAACTCTTCCAGCTGCCCGTGTTCCCAACCTATTTCCACCTGCAAATCAAATGGCTGTTTCTCAAAATGGAAAGAATCTGCCATAAGATCCTGCTTAATCCAGAAAGTCTGCTGAAGAAGCTTTCTTTGGGGTCCGTCCCTATCTGAAGCACGTGCGTTATTTTTACTGCAGTTATTTCTTTTCCACTTTACAGGCAGTTTTCCCAAAGCAGCTTATAAGCAGTACTGTATGAACAATTGCAAATAAAAATGCAGTATTAAAAAAGCCAGGCTTCTGGAGTCCTTTCTACAGGGCACTTGCCAGGAATAGCCCTGCTTGGAGGTGTGGATGAAAGAACCCAGCTTAACGGTCTTGGGGGTTGATCTTCACCCACCTTCCTCTTCATTTAAGCAAATGGATTTCCCATCGCAGAGAGCCCCATTCCCAACCCTGGGAATTCCAGCCTTGTATCTGGCTCACTGCATCGGGGAATGGAAACAGTTTCCAGGGTGGGTGGGTGTTTGGCTTCGCTGAGCTTCTGGTCTGACTCAGCTTGACTATTCATTGGCCTCTCCTTGGTTTTACTTATCTTGAAGATTTTATCAGCTGCCCTGGCTTTGTTTAATTGTTGCACTAAAATGTTGTCTTAACCACCTTTTTTATACGTTAATCAGGAAGTTAAGTTGTTAGCCAAGTTTCTCCAAGTTCCCTCCAGATCATTGGGCTTAAAATGGAGGAGAAAGTGTAAATGCATGCTTTCATTTGAGATCTAGGGGAGCCCTAAGCTTTTTCAGCGCTGTTTTCTATCAAAGGTGATTCATCATTGAGGTTTTGAAGAGAAGAAAGCAGAGGGAAAAAAAGAGAAGTTTGAAACCTTTATCTCTTATCTTGAACTCATTTACAAGATATTCTCATGTGTGCATTGGGGCAGTTTCCAGAAGTTTGCATCCGCCAGATAAGGGGACTTAAAACAGGGCAGAGATAGGAACCTGGTTTGTGAACTAGTTTATTTTTAGATGCTGGAGATTCCAGATCTCTCCAGTGCTGTTTTGCCAGCAGAGAAGCAGAGCTGTTTAGCCCTGAGATCTAGGAAAGGGCAATTTTATCTCTTATTTGGAATTCCTTTCCAAGATATTCTTACATTTTATAGATCTGTACAGCTTCTGTTAGCCCTGTGCTTTTAGGTCTTAATGTGTGTTAAGAACAATCTCTGCTGGCTGTTTATGCCTTTACAAAAGGTGATTGATTGATTGATTGATTGATTGATTGATTGACTGATTGATTGATTGATTGATGCCTTCGAGTCAACTGCTTAAACTAGTCCCTGCAGTTTCCTTGGCAAGATTTTCAGAAATGGTTTGCCATTGCTTGTTTCCTAGGGCTGAGAGAGAGTGACTGGCCCAAGGTCATCCAGCTGGCTTCGTGCCTGGCAGGACTAGAACTCATATTCTCCTGGTTTCTAGCCCGTTGCCTTAACCACTATGCCATACTGGCTCTCTGCCAGGTGTTACCCATGGAGTAAAGGTGCTACTCATGGAGAAAATCTATCTATCTATCTGGTCGCTGGACTTGATTATGAGCCATCAATAGGTGCTACACACATCAAAACATTTCAAAACTGCCAGTTCCTACATTCCACTTAGGGATAACTTGCAAGAAAAAAATGACTGACCCATGGTACTAAGCCAGACAAACTACAATGTGGTGAACTCGGCCTCTAGGTCAGCTTTTCTCAGTCATCTGCCATGCTGTAGATGAGGATGATGGGAGTTGGCATCCAGGTTGGGGAAGGGCAGGAGCAAAATAAGATGGATAACGTTCTTTCCACACATCCCAGTAGCAACCTAACTGAAGATTACTTGCTGTTTTGGGGCCTCTGGTGGTTTTATCCCTCCATGTCCCTCCATTTTTTGTTTGCTGGCCCTGAATTCTTCATCTCCTGGGTCTTCCATTTTGACTTGAGGATAAGAGTGTGAAGCAGAGAGAGACAGAGGCAGCAGATGGCAGTTTTGTGTTTAATGTTAAAAAAAAGTTGCCAGAATGGGAAATCGGGGTGTACACAGCAACATTATTCCTGCTCCATGGATTTTGGATGCAAAATTTTTGATCTTTTGCTCTCCATGTGCATCCAGAAAGCAGAGCCATCTCTTAGCATCCGGGAGTGGTTTTTCACGATGCACTAATTCAGGCAGGCTGCCTTGCCCCTCATGACACTGATGCCAGACCCAGTGGCTTCCCTGAGTGATTAAATGTGTCTTCCAAACTTGGAATGATTACCCTTTCTGGTTACCCTGAGCAGCAATTGGAATCAACCTCTGATGAACATTCACCAAAAGTGGTGGTTGCTTCAGATTCAAAGGTTGTATGCTTGACCCTGGAAAAGCCATCAGCAGTTGGTTATGGAGCTATGCAGATAATGGCTTGCAGATCCCTATTACTCAGCCTGGGTGGCTTAGTGTGTCTTACCTATTGCTTAGATGGAGCTAGATTTTGCAATGGGAAGGTACAACAAGAGATGGTAGCAAGGTGTTGGAAGTGAGAACTGGGTTTTTTGCTTCTAGGTGTTGTGGAGGAGAATGTCTTACTGCCAGCCCAAGAGGAGAAGACAGCTGTCCAGCCACCACTTAAACACCTTTAGAGGGAGGCCACCTCCACCTCTCGGGTCATTAGCTTCACTATCAAACTGCTCTTATCCGTAACTTGAACTCTGGAGTGAATGAGACCCAATCACATCCTTTCAGGTATTTGAAAAGTCCTATCTCCATTGTCTTTTTTCAAGGCTCCACACACCCAAATCTTTCAGTCTCTCTTCACAGAATCCAGATTCCAGTCTCACGAGCATCATTGCCCTTCTCTGAACCTATTCTGGTTGCCCTGAATTCTTTTGGAGGATCATGGGCTGTCTTTGAGCAAAAGGGCAGGAAGAGCAAGGGATGGGGTCTCTTTCTCCTTCTCTCCCTCCCTCTCTCTCCATATTCTGGACATTTTGCAGTCTCAGCCCTTTTAGAGACCACCAAGTATGAGTGACTGTTCTCATCTGTTTTGGCTAACCTGGGGGACTACTGAGACTATTACTGGCTCATATATGGCCTTTGCAATGATTGATTGATTGATTGATTGATTGATTGATTGATTGATTGATTATGTGCCATGAAGTAGTTTTTGACTCCTAGCGACCGCATAGATAGATTTTCTCTATGACAATCTATCCCTAACCTGGTCCTTCAGCTCTTCCAATGGCACCCCATGGCCACTGTAACTGAGCCTCCCCACCTTGCCACTGGTCATCCTCTTCTGCTCCTTCCTTCCACCTTTCCCAGCCTCAGAGCCTTTTCCAGAGAGCTGGGTCTTTGCACAATGGGTCCAAAGTAGGATACTATAACTATATAAGCATAAAAATTCCTGTGGACTTCCTCCCAGATGTTCCCTCTATCTGCATTGTGCATTTGAACATTTTCTGATGTTTTAGAAGTAAAAAGAATGGAAAGAGCAGTTCCTGAGCCTGGAAGATGGATTGCACTTGATGTTTCACTGGCATGCAAAGTTGTGCTGGTGGTGTGGGGTGCCATACGCCCCAAAGGAGGCAGAGCCAAGGCAAACAAGCTGTGGTTTAGTTTACATGGACATTGAATTAGAATTAAACAAGGTAATATTATTCCCATCTATATTGTAATTTTCCTTTTGGGGGGGGTAAAATTAGAAATTAAAGTTCAATTGGTAAATTTTGGAGGAATTCCAAGGACTGCATCCATGGCTTTTGAGGATCATATTAGGCCTTGGGGCCTTAGAATGTGCATCTTTGATTTGATGGATGGATGTATTCAGAGCAAAAATAAACTTGATTAGACAGTGTGTCCAAAGTAGGGTGATTTATGTTCTCTACCAAAGAAACCTTCCGTTCTGCTTGTGAGATGAGGGGCGGGAGCTTCCTAAATCTTAAGCATTATTCCAGTTCTACAAGTGCTGCTTGATCGATTTGATGCCCAGCAGATCTGTCTTTCTACTCTCCTTCCCCCTCCTATGCCCACCTAGTTGTTAGTTTTCCTGTGTTGGCTATTCTTGTTCTTTCTCTATCTGGAATGGCGTGTCTATTTTGGGCCATTTCTTGCTCCTTTGAGCCTTTGAATTGCAGCTCTTTGGCTATTCAGGATAACCTTTAGCTCAAGGGCTATTTACTTTGGGTTTTCCAAAAGCCACCTGCCAAGCTGGTATCTGATAAGCCAACTATCTGTGCAGATAAGGTGACCAGGCCAGAGGCCAAGAATGAGCCTGAAATAGCTTATTTGCTCAGTGGAAGCTGTTTGCAAAAGATTTTCAGAGAGTTGCAGGCTGTGTTTATTATATGGTCAGAAATTGGAGGCGTGTATACACCAAACACAAATTCTGTCGTATGTGACTGGGTGCCGAGCTCGCAGCAGTTACGTGTTTCTGATACAAGTAGAAATCCCAGATTTGCAGGTTTCAACTTTGCATGCATCCAGTATGAATACTGCCTGCAGAAAAAAATTATGGTGGAACCTTTGGGTGGGTTGACTGCTTCATTTAGCTGCATGAAATAGTGAACCATACTCAATACTTCGATGTGATTTTTTTTAATGTTATATTTAACTTTGGATGACAAAGCCAAATACAGTGGTACCTCTAGTTACGAACGCCCCTCCTTACGAATTTTTCAAGATACGACC